AGAGGTGGAGGTGCCTCAGTACAGATCAGTGATAGCACACCAGGTTCTCTGCTGGCCTTGAGGTGGCAGCAGGGGTAGAGCTGCTAGGTTATAGGTATATATATAGAGTTGGGGACTTGTACAGTATTCCTGTTGATATTTGGCTGAAGTAGAAAGGCTATTATCTAAGAATTTTCTTTCCTTTTTGTGTGTGTTTGTGGGTTTGCTTTGTTTTTGTTGTTTGATTTGCTTTGCTTTTTGTGGGGGTAGGGTCTCTTTATTATGTAGCTCTGACTGGCCTCAAATTCACAGAGACACACCTGCATCTGCCTCCTAAGTGCTGGAATTAAAAGTGAGCGCCACTACACCTTGCTTACTAAGAGTGCTCTATTCTGCTGTAGATGGAGAAAGCAGGTCTGTGTAGGAACTTTTTCATTGTAAGCGTTCCTGTTTGTGTTTTTATGTTCTGATTTCTTTCAATACAGATGCTAACTATTTTAGATAAAAAGGAAGGAGGAACTCTCTCTCTATGTTGGTTTACTTAAGATGCCATAAAAAAAAAAAAAAAAAAAACACCACAGACTGGGTGAAAGTGTCTAACTTACAGGACCTGGGAGTCCAGGACCAAAGCATCAAAAGGATGGTTTCTCTTGCAACTTCACTCTTGATTGCAGACTTCCACCTTCTCACTGTGTGTTTCAAAGTCCTTTTCTCTGTGTCAGTATTACTGGTGCCTCTCCTTATATGGAGCAGTCCTGTTGGTGGATTACAGCCCCTGCTTATGGCTTCATTTAACCTCAGTTACCATTCCAATGGTTCTTTCTCAAAATTCAGTTGTATTGGAGGCTAGATCTTTAATATGTGGTTTGTAGGGAGTACAAGTCAGCCTCTCACACCCAAAGGACCCATCACTACACTGCTTTTTAGGCTGTGAGATTCCTGTCTGGAAGACTTTCCTCTTTCTATCTTCCAAAGCCTTCCTATGTTTGTTTTAAATATAATATTTATCTATGATATCTAGTGAGAGGGATGGGGAAAAAACCTAGTCCATTTTCCTGGAAGATGAGACTCTCCCTCTTGAAAGATTTAAAGGCGATTTTATAACTCAATTCAAATTGGTTCTAATTCACAAGAGACAGGTTTCATTGATAAAGACATACTTTAGTTGCCATCTCGGCCCCTGGGAACTGGGATGATAAAGATCACCTCTCCAAGGCCATAGATTAGAGGAAAATATCAAGTGTCTGATGGAAGTTTTATCTTTCAAAAGAAGATATAATCCGATCTTTTAGGAAGGAGACTTGTTATGACCGACATGGTAAACAATTAGAAGCTCCATGTCCCTAAGACTTCCAGGACCTCATCTCCATGGACAGAAGTGGGATTTGTACCATTACCTGATGCACACTAGAGAAGGCAGGGGTCCTGGACAGGGCTGGATATACATATGTGTGTGTGTGTGTGTGTGTGTGTGTGTGTGTGTGTGTGTGTGTGTTAGAGAGTAGTAAGTCTGGAATCTTCTGACTTCCGAGGCTCTGGAATTTCCACACCATGGAAGCTGTGAGCCCTGGAGTGTTAGCGTCAGAAGGAATTCCTTACTACTCAAATCCCACCTCTCATGAGTAAGAAGGGGATTCTTGAGGAAGATTGATTCACTGATTACGCATGGAGGTCACGAGACAAACAACCCCTGCCACAAGCCTCCATCCCACCACCCCGTGTTTCTATTACACTCGGGCCTCACCCGTGGTAGATGAGTTTGGGTGTGCTTCATTTCCTGCCTTACACAATAAACTTGTCAGGATTTGACGGATCAGCACTTGCATTCAGGAGTTCATTTGCAAGGCCACCTGGCTTCCCGGCTCTCCTGTCCTGCCCCCATTTCAGCTTTGCCTAATGAGCCACGGCCTGGTTCCTGGTGAGTGGTGCTGAGCTTCTGGGCCAGAGATGGCCAGCATTTGATAGTAAGGCCTCCCAGCCCCTCCTCAGGGATCTCTCTCTGTCTGAAGGAGGTCAGGCCACTAGCATGGAGAGGAACAGCCCGTTTTCTGCTACAAGCCTGAGCTGTGCGGCTGAGAGGAGTGTCCCAAGCTCTCACTGTCCCATCCAGAGGTTGGATCAGGCTTGCAGCAGCTTCCTTCCTAGCTGGACGAGCTATGGGCTTCCAGGAGTGCTGCAGCCTGCCTAGTCCACACTGATTTGGGTTTATTTCTAAGAAATCCTGGTTAAGGAAGACACAAGGTCAGGCTTTTAGTATTCACCAAGAAATGGCCAGGAGGGCGAGGATATGTAGCATTCTAGCTGCCCGTGGCCCCTCATCAGCCAGCAAGGTCTTATTCTTCCCATGTTTTGAGTCATCCTTGGCTCTACTCCAAGCACACCCCCTTGCCCAGAGCTTCTTGCTGGGAGGATTCCTCATTCCCGAGTCTGACCTTCTTGGTGTTCTGCTCCCAACTTGGACTTGGGGTTATATAGCTGAAACAATTCCAACCTTCTCCAGTTACTGGGCAATTACTATCAAATCTCATTAAGAAAGGCCTTAGAAACGTCCTACAGTCAGGTTATTCATTTTCTTTTTTCCTTGCCCTGCAAGTGGGATGTGAGACTGTTGCCAGTCTCCTACTATAGTACACAAGCCTAAATTGATGCCTGGCACATAACAGGTGCTCAGCAAAGGCTGGATAATAACCTCACAGCACTGTGGTCACCTCATCTAAATCCACAACCTTCACCCTTAAGCTGAAGGACAGTAGGTTTATCCCTCAGCTCCACCCATGTGGCTGGTGGCTGCTTTCAGCTCTCCCACTGTCCTCTATATTAACTCCTTCCTGGATGCTTCTCCTCTCCCTCTGACTATTCAGATTTGACAACGGACTGACCAAACATACCTTCCCCGTGTTTTGAAGGCACTGTCTCTACTGGGAGTCTAAAGAGACCCTCAGCACAGCACACCACATAAGGCTTAGTGCTATGGCTATCTTCATGGATGCATGCCAGAGAAAAGAGGGGGGGCGGGGTGTGTAGAACCCTATAGTAAAGGGGAATCTCTACCCTGTTCCCAGGCTACTTCTCCTACCTCTCCACTAAACTTATGAGCAATGGGCCATAGATTCTGGTCCTTAGTGGGGCCTCGACCATTCCTGTAAGGCTACTGAACTGCTGCAGGCCTATCTCTTACCCGGTCACAGATCTCACTCCCATCCGGGCCAGGCTGAGGAAAGTGCCCTGAAATCCGTTACTAACTATGGATGCTCTTCTTTGCCCACATGAACAGAGATCTTATCTTCAATGAATGCACAGACTTGGAAAAGTACCCAGACCTGGGAGGCTCCATAACAACCACTTTGAGGACCTAGGATGACAGCAGGGTCACACACTGTGTATAGAAAGCAGCAGACATATGGAAGGGTGACAGCCCTGTGTGCAGGAGCTGCAGAGTGTGGAGGAAGGTGGGAGGGGCTTCTTGGAAGTAAAGAGAAGGATGTGACCCAGCGTACCCTCCCTGTGCTCTGAAGGCACTGGTTAGACTGGGATCCCAACCCCTTCCCCTGCCCTCTTCCCCCCTCCCCATCCCCCTCCCCCCCAACTGCCACACAGCACACAGTGCAAGGCTAAGCACCATGGCTATCTTCAGGCTAGAGAGATGAGGGGCATGGTGGGGAGAGCAGGCACTCGCTTTTTTTTTTTTTTAAAGATTTCTTTTAAAAGTTAATGTATGAGTATCTACATGTACACCAGTATGCCAGAAAAGGACCCAAGATCTCATTACAGATGGTTGGGAGCCACCATGTGGTTGCTGGGAATTGAACTCAGGACCTTTGGACGAGCAGCCAGTGCTCTTAACCACTGAGCCATCTCTCTAGTCCCACTTGGCTTTCTTGCCTCTACATTTCATTGGAAGAATTTAGATCTTCACTCACTTCTAGCTGAGAGGAGGCCAGAAGCTGTAGCTTTAGTCCATGTGCAAAGCTAAATGCAGGGTCCTCTGGGGGAGCAGGGAGGCTGTGGATACAGGCAACCACTGCCAGGCAGTGAGTGCCTGGTGATGCCTGATGCCACATCCCACACCATCTGTGCCTAGGGCACTCTCACCCCAGCCCAGAGGCTACAGGGTGTCTCCATTCTGTCACAGCATCCGGCTCCACACAGGCCATACTCAGCCCTCTCCTCTGGGCCTTGAAGTATCTCCTTGGAATTTTAGACCAAAGCTGGTTTTGGCTTATGGTGGACTTGAAATTCTGATGAACTTCAAAGCAAAGGATGGGTTACTAACACCCATGACCAGGGTGATGTGGTAGAAAACATACACTACCTCAAGAAAGTCACCTGTAGAGAAGACAGAAACAGCAGAGGCGGCAGCAGGTGCGCACGCTTGGTCCCACCTGCCAGACGGGCTTGTCAATCTCTTGGGGGAGTGTTTGAGGCTTTCTATAAGAATAAGCAGTAGACTCCCTGATAACATATGTTCTGCATACCTAGCGGCTGCTAGCCTATCTGTCCCGATAAGTGAGGTCTATGTGTCTGAACTAGTCTTAGCCAGCTCATTAAGTTACAGCATCAGCTGTAGTCTTACCCTTCCCCTGCAACTCCGGCTCTGAACCAACCCCAGGGAGTAACGGAGGGCAATCAATACCTTTCCTTCAGATTCTCATGTGAAACTGGCTTATTTAAAATTTCCAGGGACAAATTTAAGTACTCAGAAAAAGTCAGAGTCAACAATCAATGTGCACAGATATGGCAGTGTCTGTGCCGGAGTGACTGAGGTGCTGTTGGACAGGGGAGTGGAAGCGAACAGGACTGAGGACTGAAGCATCCCCTTCATCTGGGCAGGCAGAACCAGTGGCCCCACACTGGGTGAAGCTCTGGGCACTGCTAAGGGTCAACAGTCTTGACTACTGGGTAGAGCAGAGGCTCAGGACAGGACATCTGACTGCATGGCCCTGTCAAGGCTGGCAGGCTGCTGGCAGCATGTGAGACTCTGCAGGTGCCCCAGACTGAGGCCGCACTCACCTGTCCTACAGACTCCACCAACCGGGACTCCCTGGACATGATCGAGCGCTGCATCTGCCTGGTATGCCTGGATGGTCCAGGCACTGGAGACCTCAGTGACACGCACAGGGCCCTCCAGCTCCTTCACGGTGGAGGCTGCAGTTTGAATGGAGCGAATCGCTGGTATGACAAGTCCCTGCAGGTAAGTGCCCTATTAATGGCCCTGCAACTGCATAGACTCTTCCGGAACAGGCCAAAGGTGCATGCTTTTGCTGTCTTCTGACATTCAGACTGAACTAGTGATGCCACCTCTAGATTAGCCATGTGTAGGACCCAACTAAAACCTCCCTGACTGTCCGGCCACTGTGTGGGAAGAGCTTGGTCACACCTGGGCTCCTTTCCCTATCTCCATCACACTCTGGAGTGGAATACTACCCACCTATTTACTCAGTAAATCAGGATTCAGCAGTTAAACAGGATTCGGGTCTGACCGGGGATGCCTGCTCTCCTGAATGTCCACCACCTGTCTTGACCATTTCAACACATAAAAAGAAGCTAGGCAGCCCAGCATTCGATAAATGCATCCCAAGGACCAATCAAATAATCCATAGCTTTTCATTCACATGCATCACGATAACATCTTATGTTGGCTTAGAGGAAAACACTCTTGCAAATGGATTGTACTCTAGGTTGCCATTCCTTCCAGACCTCTAGCCCCCTGCAAACCCTGCAACCTGTCAATACCTAACACAACCTTGTTTATTTACAATGCCACCACACTCTCACAGTGGCCGTATAAAAGCAAGTTAACCATCTCTCTGGGTTGCGCCAGCCCACCTCCACAAACATTTCTCAGCAGTGTCTCATTTTCTCCTCGTCCCATCCCCGCATCTGGTGGGTTATCTTCTTTATTGGTTTGCATAGTGATCCTGTTATTTCTGATGAGTTCTGCTGCAGCTGAGCTGGCTGTTTAGCCTCCACAGTGCCACTAATGGCTTGGATTCTCTCACAGAGAAGTGGTTGGAATGAAATTATATAATGGATGTATGGGACACAGAGCATAGTAAGGGTTGGGTACAGTTTTACAAAGACCTATTTTCTTCCCTCTAAGTGACAGGGACAAAAAGGTACCTGTAGGGTGTGAGTGCAGCCTCCCCATTTTGTAGAGAAGACAGAAATTAGATGAGCCAGGGGTGCTACCGAGATGTCATGGACCTGAGCTTGAGGGGATGGAAGATGAGTCTCCCCGTGGAAAGAAAGATTGTTGGTTGAGGGAATCAAGGAACGATGCATACTTAGAGACGCTCTGTGGGTGTGTCATTGTTTGTTGGCTAGATCGTTGAGATATGCTGAGATTCTGGTGTCTGGCACAGAGAGCCAAGACTGGAGAAAGTGTGGGGAGAGGCATCTCAAAATGTGTGTGCTGTGGTCCACGGGAATGCTTTCAGCAAGCACCTAGGAGCTCATTCCTTTGTTCATTTATTTGTGCATTTACCAAGGGGAGACAGCGTGAGGAACTCCAGAGCACCCTGCTTCACGTGGGGTTCAGCCCAAGAGTCAAGCCTCATCTTTCCCAATATTTTCTCTTAATACTTTTGAGCCTTGAGAATATTCCTTTCCATGGTGAGCTCAACATTGTCTCGTAAAACTATGCAAAGGGGTCTAAGGATCCTTTGTTTCTAATTTTCATCTCAATCCTGTGAGCTGCTTTACTGGGATGATTTAAATGAGTCCTCGGGTAGAGAGGTTTGAAGGCTTTGGTGGATGTTTCCTCGCTCAGCAGACAAAACAGCAGACTGAGATCTGTTGGCTGTTGAATAGAGCATGCTCCCCACACCTTTCCCACCAAAGAACCTGTTCTTTCTCCTGACAGATCTGCTTTCCACCAAATACATCATTATATTTTATTCATTTATGCAACACAATTACCAGCAGTTGTTCTGGGGTGGACACTAGATTTTGGGAATAAACTCAGTGGTGACCAATAGCAGCAGAGTCGGTCTATTAGGCAAATGGATGCTGAAAGCACTGGAGAATGGAGTCTGCTGTGCACGCAATAAAGGACAAACAGGACTGAGAACCCACTCAGGCCTATAGACCATGCACCAGACAGTATGAGCTCACTAAGAACCCTGGACTGCTGCAGCGCAGAACTTGGGCTGCCCTTCCACTGCCTAGCACCCTGTAGGAAGAGCTTCCTTGAGACTTCCACACTGTTGGGTACCTGCAGCCATTTGTAGCATTCTTGTTAGGAATCAACAGTCCTTGGTATCCTTGGAGGAGAAATGCCCCCAAGAGGTCAGGGGCCCTAACCCAGGCCCAGGGTCAGCTCACCTGCTTCTTCTCTGTTGCAGTTTGTGGTGGGGCGAGATGGCACCTGCGGTGTGGTGTGTGAGCATTCCCCTTTTGATGGCATCGTCCTAGTACAGTGCACGGAGCACCTGCTGAAACATATGTGAGTCTGGGCAGAGCAGAGGAAGACCTCAGAGGGCTGCCATGCCGAGCCAGGAGAAACTGGGATGTCAATCCAGAAAATGGCTGAGCCAAAGATGAAATTTGGAAAGAAGCTCAAAGACTGCAAAATGAGTGTTATGAGCCACAGATGGGAGGTGCAGATTGGGCAGGAAACAGGGCAGACAAGGAGAAGTGGGGGGATCCAAGTGTTGATCCAGGGAGCTTAGATCAATCTTTCCTCTTGGCCCTGAGACAGTGCCAGGTACCTGGTGGCCCAGCACAAAGGAAGGTCTCCTCCATCATGGGCTACATCCCCAACTTTCATGCTGCTAGGCCGAAGCCCTGCTTGTCTATCCCTTAGCACAATGCATTTCTTCTAGCTTTTGTGGTTTTGCTCACTCTCTTCTCGGATGTAGTGTCCCAGTCTCTTCCACAAAAGTCGTTGGCATGACAAAGACACAAACCAGCCTTTGGAGACACAACAACTCAGCTTGCTACCACGTTACAAACTCTCATAAGGACAGCCTAAACATGGCTGAACACTACAAATGATACATGTTAGAGTCAGGTGGAAGCAATTGGGATCCTGGCTCTATCACAAATGGAGTTGGGTTTGTCTGCCCAGTGGGCAGCTCAGACACCCTAAATTTCAGGGGCTGTGCACAGCAACAGCTAAGATGCTTGCACAGGAAAGCCATGCTGCCCACAGCCCTTGGCTGTAGGGTCTCAGGAGGTTGTCTCTTTGCGTCTACAGGATGTCAAGCAACAAGAAGCTCGTCCGAGCCGACTCAGTGAGTGAGCTCCCTGCTCCCAGAAGGCTGAGGTGGAAATGTTCTCCAGAAACTCAAGGCCACCTTGCCTCCTCAGCAGAGAAACTTCAAAGGTGAGGGAACTTCTACACTTTCCCACCCCCAGTAGCTGCTGAAGCATCCTGGAAGATTCCAAAGGCCCCTAGGACTCTGCTTCTCTCCAGGCCCCGCCCATTCTCATCCTCCATGGAGAAGGAGTCAAACTAAAGAGGAGTTATGACTCTCAGGAAATAACCTTGCTCAAATGTCTACCATTTTCATAAGATGCAAACCTGAAGCTATTTTTTTCCTGCAGGTTTCACCTGACTAAGCAGATTCAAGGCTGGGAATGGATTCCCTGCTTTGAGGGAGTGATAAAGAACTGCTTTGAATAGGTCATTTGAATTCACGCTATTTCCATTTGCTTGAATTTTACACTGTAACTTGACAAGGGGGCCTTTTCCCAGGGGAGGAGCTGGCCCTGGCCGTAGCAGACAGAGGCAGAAGGGCTAGCCATGTGTTCCCTTTGTCGGTCTCTGGGTAAGAATACCCATTCACTCATCAAACTCCAAGAGCTCTAATCGTGTGTGTGCCAGGTCTGTGGTAAAACACTGGGACCTCGGAAATGAATGGGCCCGGGCTTATCCTCCATGCTCTAGCGGAAGAAGATAAAATCATGTACAAGCTATGAAATGCCCAAAACAAAGAGGCGTGGAGATTAGAACCTGCAGATAGACAAGGGGTCGAACTCTGCCTGGACAGTGAGCAAGGGTTTCAAAGGATGAGTAGCAGCTTGAGGGGATGGTATACAGGGAAGAGTCAGGACAATGGCTTCTATAAGCCTCAGTAGGTTCATAAAATCCAGGCTGGTATGGAGACAGCAAATGAGAAGATGGCTGGAATTGGGACCTAAGAGAGAAGCTGAACCATGCTGTGAAGAGCCTCCCCTGCCTGTGATGAGGAGCACCTCCTGCTTAGGAGTTGCTGGAGAGCCAGTGAGGAGTCTATAGGGGTAGCATAGGTAGGCAGGGCATAGTGTGGCCAGGCTGAGAAACCTAGGATGGGGATGCTTCTCGCTTGGATCCGCTGTGGAGGCAGCCTTAGTGAATGAGAAAGGGGGTCTCTGGGTTTCCGTGGAATGTTGTTGACATCTTATCTTTGATGGTGGGGGTCCACGGTGAGCGGGCTGTCAGAAGAGGGAGATGGAGGAAAATAGCTGAAGGGTCTGCTTATTCTCAGGGACCTGTGTCCTTCTATGTCCTCAAGCTTCTCCCTAAAATGGGGCATGAGGTGTTACCTGGATCTATACAGTCCATGAGAGGTAGTGTGCCAAGGTGAGCAGAGTCTGGGGAGGGGGCCGTTTCTGAGTGGCCAAGATGACAGAGAAATCTGCCCAAGGAGTCTGTCAAAAGGTAGGAGGTCTTTCCTGTTCCCAGCATCTGCATAACTCCTCATAACTCAGCTCATGAGAGGCACAAGGTCTGAGTTAAAGGTGAGTGGTGGATAGCAGATATAGCATCAAGTCCTAGGGACAGAGTGAGTCAGGGAAGGTTCCTCCTCCAGGAGCTGTGCTTACACCTGGCTGAGCTAGTGACACACACCTTGCTGGCAATGCTCTCCCCCCACAACCCCGGAGACATCAGAGCAGACCCCAAACTCATTATGAGAGAGGATACTGGCCAATACGGGGGTGGCACAGGCATCTCTGTGTAGATACAGGGACGTTTTCTGATTCTTTCCTGGTAATGATAGGCATATTCTGGGAAGCATGCCCAAGTGAACTGTCAGATGGAATGCTTTAGAGTCTAGAAGCATCCTGGAGGAAGGTGTGGCTTTCAGGATAGAGGCAGAGGGTTAGAGGATAACCAAAGCCAGTTACACAAAGATGTTACCATCCAAGCCAGGTTTCAAACAAGAATCAAAGTTTAGAAGCAGAAGGAAGGTGTCACAAATAGGGTGCTGCCTGAGCTATGGTCTAGAGGTCTGGGACTCACAGGGGCTGCCTTGCAGAGCTAAGGAGAATTGATTGGGTGGGTTAGCAGTCACTGGATAAAATCGGGCTTCTGTTAACAAGTAAAACATTGGGTGAGTAAAGCTCCAGTCCTCGCTGGAGTTACCATGTCTGTCTGTCAGATCCCAAGTCTTTTTGCCCCAGAGCACAGCAAGGAGAGACTGGATGACAGCTGGCTGAGAAATTAACTGTTAGGACAGTTGAGTGTCCACAGGGACACTGGACCACACACAGTTTCTACACCAGTCACATACATGTTCTTTGTCAGGCCTGCTTTGTAGGCAGCCAGCTGGTAGGAGTCTGTGTGGATGAGGCTTTCTCTGCCCATGTAAATGTCTCATTTGTATGCTCCTCCCACTTTGCTGTTGCAGCCAGGCCCACCTCTCCCTAGAAGGGTCCCTCTGGGATGAGCTCACCTGCCTAGATGAGCTCCAGTTCCAATGTGCCTTCTGCCAGTTGCATGGGTGAGGGTACATGTCTGACACCCTAGGTATTTCTGGATGATAAGGGCTATGCACTCACTCACCTTCTGGACCTAGGACATGTACGAGGGTCAGAAAACATGGGTGGGTTCTGTGGTATAGGAGTCTTATCTTGCATGCAGAGTATCTTCTTTCTCTTCCACAGAATAGTGAAGAATCTGGATTTCATTGTTTATAAATTTGACAACTATGGAAAAACATTTATTAAGAAGCAGAAATGCAGCCCTGATGGCTTCATCCAAGTGGCCCTCCAGCTGGCCTACTACAGGTGAGCAAAGGCAAGATAAGCCTGTGTGCCCAGGTGGGCTACTGGATGAGATGCTTTAGAGTCTAGAAGCATCCTGAAGAGAGGTGTGGCTTTCAGGGTTGGGGCAGAGGGCTGGAGGATGACCAAAGCCAGCTGCAAGGAGATGTTACCATCCTAGCTAGGTTTCAAATCGGAATTAAAGTCCAGAAGCAAAAGGAAAATGTCACAAACGGGGGACTGCCTGAGCTGTAGTCCAGGGATCTGGGACTCACAGGGTCTGCCTTGGAGAGCTGAGGTGAATCAGATGGGTTAGGAAGACCAGGAACTTGTAGGGACTGCTCTTTACCTGATTTCCTCCACTCATCAGAGTCCCTGTGATGTGACCCACACCTCCCTGGTCTAGCTTTGTTCAGGGCACTGGGAACAATGACCCCCTTCCCCTAAGTTAGTCCGGCCAAAGACCTGAGGATCCCTACTGATCTTTTCCTTTATTTACCCACATCCTCCCATATCAGTTCTCCAGTTTTCTCTCAAACCTGCTGTTTGCCCTCCCGACCACCACCGTCAGACCCTCAGAAGCTACGAGCAACCTCGCTTGGCCAGTTGCGGCACAGGCCCCAGAGATGGCTGCTCCTACTTGTCCCCTCTCTATGGTCTTGTCTTCATGAAGAGTGGGCATGGACATATGCAAATCAGACCTACCACTCTGCTGCCTGGCACTCCTGGGATTCATCCTTGTGATTTGGGGCCACCCCGTAAACTTTTTGACCTTTAGATCTTCGCTTTAGCCACAAATCTGTCCTCTCACCTGCCACCTTTCAGAGGTCTGTCTGGAGACACACTTACCAGGAGCAATCCTCTTAGGCTCCGTTGTCCCCCGGTTCTCTATGATATTGAACTGACTGGCAAAAGTGTACCTCCTGTCTGAGAGATAGGTGTGGGGCCACAACTTGTTATGTGACAGTGGGCTCTCATTCATCTCAGTCCTATGGTTTTTCTTTTTCCTCATAGTCAACTCCATGGATGTTACTGACTGATGGGGAGTGGGGATTCTGCTGGTCAGGGATGCGAGCCCAGGGTTGCTCACCTGGTCCCATGCACAAGGAGAAAGGAGTTTTAGACACTGGCATGAGCTCTGCTAATGTGGCCAGGAAACTAAAACAACATGTGCAGATACCAGACACAGTTTTTCCCACAAGATACACCTTGATGTCCTGGTGGGCCTGGGCATCTGTCCACACTCACCGTATTTACAGGCTTTGACCAGAGGTCATGGCTGAACCATTTAAAATAAAGCAGGTGTCCATGGAAGATGTACATGAAAAACTGCACACTCATCTGACTCTGCGATATTAATCAACACTCAGTAGGTCTCACAGGAAATTCCAGGTTTCCCTACAGATTGGTGGTGGTTTTTTTGTTTGTTTGTTTGTTTTGTTTCAAAAAAAAGCCACCTCTTCATTTTATGTCAACACGGTGTCCCCAGTGTATAAAAGCGTGCATGGTTCTTCATATCAAAGACTTCCCGGCATTCATCTCTGGAATTCTCCTCTAGAATTCTATTAACATTAAAATGAAATACTGAGCCACGTCATGTCAGAGCTATGAAAATAAAGCCTGCTGGAGCTATTTCTCTTTCAGGATTTATGACTCCCTGAGAACAAATTACTGTTTGCCATCCATCTTTTATCTCGTTCAGGCTTTACCAGAGACTGGTGCCCACCTATGAGAGTGCATCCATCCGCCGCTTCCAGGAAGGTCGGGTGGACAACATCAGATCATCCACTCCAGAGGCACTGGCTTTTGTGCAAGCCATCACTGACCACAAGGCTGCCATGCCGGTAAACCCCATCTGCCTTCAGGAGCCACAGGGAGGCCAGAGAGGCCAGGGAGGCCAGGGAGGCCGCCATGGGCTACAGTGCACTTTGTTCACTGCACACGGGTTCCATGGCTACAGCTGCCCTTCCACAGCTGACCCTCTTCTTTGTTCTTAGGCTTCTGAGAAACTGCGGCTGCTGCAGACAGCCATCCAGGCCCAGACTGAGTACACAGTCATGGTGAGTGGCCATTCCTCACTAGCGCTGACTGCTCAGTGACTTGGCAAGGCTGCCCCTCTCTTATTTTTATTCATTTTTATTTTATTTATTTCTATGGCAGAGGGATTGAATCTAGGCTTTTACACATGCTAGGCAAGTGCTATAGCACTAAGCTATATGTCAAGTCCTCTTTTTTTTTTTTTAACTTTTTATTTGAAACAGAGTCTCTTCAAGTTGCCCAGGCTGGCCTTGAATTCACCATGTAGCCCTGGTTGGCCTTTAATATATGATTCTCTTACCTTGGTCTCCCAAGTGTCTGAGATTGGTTATAGTCTGGTTCCACTTGGGATGATCTTTCTCTTATTTCTACATCATAGGCAACACACCCTTCCTGCTTTCCTCAGGTTTCACCACAGGACAGTAAGTGGTGTTTGAAACCTGTTGACATAACTATAATGATAATAATAGCTCACAATATGTATGGCACTTTACAGTATTTATAGGAACCATCAATTTGGGGGGTGGGGGCAGCTTGATGAATATTGGTGGCTTGTTCCCTGGCACACTGGAAGGGAGTCAGAATTTATTATCACCTGGGGCTGATTTCCCCTCTTGTTTTCTATATGCTCATTTATGCCGCCTGTGAACTGAAGGTCTTTGCTGAAAATTAATAGTGAAATAAAAATTGTATGAGGACTATTTCTCTAGTTTGAGGGAATAATTTATTTTGCAATATTGCAAAGCTATTATTTGCATGCAAACAAGAAGAAACTTGAGCTAGTGATCAATGTGTTAATTACAGATCACTCAAAAAACAAGCAGGATGGCAAAAATCGATGAGAAAGATTGAGCAGATTTTTCTGTATGTACTTGAAAGCAAATCTAACATATTTCTGGATTTTAGAATTCATCAGTGTAGACTTTCTTTTAACTCAGTCCCTGATTCATCTCAATAGCTATGTTTGCTCTGTTTAAACACTGTATTAGCCAAGTGTGTATTAGCTCAGGCCTGTACTCCAAGTACTCAGGAGTGTGAGGCAGGAGGATCACAAGTTCAAGGTGAGTGTGGGATCTGAGTGAGACTTCATCTCAAAAAGCTCTTAGCTTTTCTACCACTCTAGCAAACAACTGAGACAATCAAGCAATCACCATAGGGAAGTAAATAACAGAGACGACCAGCCAATCAGTACAAGGAAGCAAATAACGGAGACAATCAGCCAATCAGCACAGAGAAACAAATAATGGAGCCGACCAGCCAGTCAGCACAGAGAAGGAAATAATGGAGACAATCAGCCAATCAGCACAGAGAAGCAAATAATGGAGACAATCAGCCAATCAGCACAGAGAAACAAATAATGGAGCCGACCAGCCAGTCAGCACAGAGAAGGAAATAATGGAGACAATCAGCCAATCAGCACAGAGAAGGAAATAATGGAGACAATCAGTCAATCAGCATGGAGAAGGAAAAGTCTATTTTGGCTCACAGTTTCAGGGGCTTCAGTCCATGGTGGGTGGCTTCCAGGGCTTTTAGGCTAGTAGAAAGGCACCACACTGTGGTAGGGAGCATATGATGAAACAAAACCATTCCTTTTTGTGGCAAAAATAAAATAAAATAAAATAAAATATAATAAAATAAAATAAAATGGAAAGAAGACAGGGAGGATCTGGGATGCCGCCATCTGCCTCAAGGGCATATCTACAATTACAGGAAAACCTTCTACTGAGCTCTACCTCTTAAAAGTTCCACAACTTCCCAATGACACCAAGCCTTTAATGCATGAGTCTTTGGAGACATTTCAGATCCAAACTCCTGTAAGTGCCCACTCCGTAGTCAATTAATTTCCTCCCTGCTTCATGCCAGGCTAAGTGCTATATACAAGAAATAAAATTTGCCATCCCTAAGCGCTACCAGCAGGTATTGAACAAGGAGTCATAGTAGAGGTGCTTCAAAGTTATGTCAAACCCACATAATGAAGAGTCCTAGGAAGTTATAGAGAACGTGGAGGAGCAAGCTTCTTCCTCTGCTTTGAAAAGCTGAGAGGCCTTCCCAGAGGAAGCAGTCGTTAATGTGTGAAGGAGGAAAGGGGAGGAAAGCTAAGGAGAGAGCATCACGTTGTGAAGGCAAGAGTCTTGTGAACATGATATATCTGACAGGATGAGCAGCTCAGTGTGTGCAGCTTGTGAAGGACTGAGGAGAACTGGATTGTCTGTTACTTCAGTGTGGGACAGAAGACAGACAAGCTACATTAGGGGAGTACCAAGCAGAAACTCTATGATACTAGAGAAATCTGTAGCTGGGCTGAATCAAAGGGATGAAGAGGAACATATGGACTTCTGATTCAACAATGAAATTCTCTAGAACAGAGGAATTTTAAGCCATATTCATATGAAAAGAGAATTGGAGAGAAGGCAACTGGTAAAGCATTAGTGCTGAAAAGTAGAGCAAATAGCAGCTGGCTTTCCACGGACAAAGATGCTGGAAAGCCCAGAAAGCTGAGGTGCAGCACCTCGGGGCAGCTCAGACATCAGGGACACAACAAAAATAGGGATGTTAAAAGGAGAGGTTTGGCTGATGGCTTTGTTTGTTTATCCTGCTGTAACAAAATCTGGTGCAGTGCATAATTTATTAAAAAAAAAACCTAAGATTTCCCACACTTCTGGGATCTGGGAGTCCAAGTTCAAAGGATCAGTCAGTGAAGTTGTTGGTCTCTGCTTCCAAGACGGTTCCTGTTTCTGTGTCCTCCAGAGAGGAAGGCTGTGTGATGTTCTTGTGGCCAAGGTAGAAGGCAGGAAGGTTTGAAGTCGTGTGGTCTCTCTTATAGGGGCCTTCACATTCCAGTGACCTGATCACTTTTTTAAAGCAAGGCCTCTTAGTAATGGTCTCTCTTATAGGGGCCTTCACATTCCAGTGACCTGATCACTTTTTTAAAGCAAGACCTCTTAGTAAATTTCACTGTCTAGTAACTTTTGAGATATGAAATTTTTGTGATTCCGAGTTCACCCCATCACTGGGGTGTGGGAATGCCGCTGTCAGGTGTTGGGCTTGAAGGAAGCACTGATACACCACTCAGGGGGTGGGAAAATGCAGCCTAAGATATTGGAGGCTGAAGGCTGGAGTTACCTGACTTCAGCAGGTGCTCAGATGAGTCGGGAATGGAGGGCCTGGAGTCCATGGGCCTGTAATGAGGAACCTGGGGCTGGGCTGGGGCTTCCCAAACTCCTGGACATCCAGATTTCACTGGACCATGGAGAGTTGAGAACAGAGTTGTGTCTGCAGGCTGAGAAGCCCAGGGCCAGGAGGAAGGGGAACTCCAGCTTAGCTCAATTGAGACTGTCCTCAGCTTAGTTGCAATTGTCTGGGAGTATGGAGGGGCCTTCTGTGGGAGACTTAGACAGTGTGACTCTGTAGACAAAGGCTTCCTCCATGCTCCCACAGCAGTTTTTGATGAAAAAGATAATCCATGCTTGTCCATACCATTTATTGACTATTCAAGGTGGAAAATGGGTGTATACCACTTCCTTGGGGTGGGCCAGATATGAAATACCTTTTGGAGGAAGGAATGTCTGAGAAGGGAAGCTTATTGGCTGAACCTTCAGGGCCCCTAGATACTTTATTAGCATGGAGAACTCTGTTCTGGTCTATGTGACTGAAGTGGGGAGTATGGTCATGTGTTGTGGGCCAGGAATCTGGCAGAAAGCAGAGAGATGCCTACTGTCTCAGGTGGGTGCCTGGGTGCTAGGCCTCTGAACCCACTCAACTTTACCGAGTTTCCTGGCACTATTGACTACTCCACAAATTTTTGAAATATTTTATTCTATAAATAAGAACAGAAAACTCTAAAAATATTATCAAGAAATAAAGATAGCTCTAGGGTACAGTGTAGCAGAAAATGTCAATGGAAGTATTGGGAGATAATATGAGGTAACCTACTTTAAACACCAACAAAATATGTGAAATATAAGAAAGATAGAGTGGTTTAGTTCAGGTGAGCAGTATCCCCAATTTTGTTCAGAAAGAGAATTGGAGAGTAGACAACAAAAGACTTCAAGAAAACTATCAAAGGCTGCAGATAGTTCAATGACAGAGAGCATGACTAGCATGGGAATTCACCATCTTACATAATAGGAAATATTTATGCCAAGGAAATTTCATGGCCCCATAGACAAAGAGAAATCCTAAGTTTCTCAGAAGAAAAAGAAAGACAAAGGTCATAAATAAAGGCATAATTGGTCTCTTAATATCATCATCAGAAGATAGATGATAGTGAGCAATGCCTTCAGATTCTAAGGGAAAATGATCGCCAACACCTCTTTTATACCTAGCTAAACTATCAGTAGATTTAAAGACAGAATAAAGACATTTTAAACAGAAGAGATTTACACCTTTTACTTACTAAGTAGTCTTTCTTATAAAACTGCTAAAGGCTGCAAGTCTCCAAAGTGTGAAAATGAATGCTAAATTAATTAATTAATTAATTAATTAATAATGTGTAAGATTCAGCACACACAAACAAAAATGAAGTAGAAAGACTCCTCTGGATGACACTGAATGGAGACTGTAAGTCAACAGCTATCCAGCAGATCTAGAGAGCAATTAGTACATAAAGGAGTAATGAGTGAGAGAAGGCTGAAATGAGGGCTGCATTTAAGAATTAATTAGAAGTAGATACATAGAAAAACACAGCTTAATGATTGCCAATTCAAGGGAGAACAAGAAGTTTAATGAGAAAGGAAATCTATATCTGGGAATATAGTTAAGTTGGTATCACTTGCCTAGCATGTGATAGGTCCTGGGTTTCATCCTCAGTAGGAAATAGGATGGGTAGAGGAATGGAGAGGTAAAGGGAAGGAGACAAATCTAATCATAATATGCTAGAAGACCCAGCTATGGGTGTCTACATTATGACATTCTTTAAGTATATCTGTTGCTCAAGCAACGAGCTGAAATATGACTCTCCTGGAAAGACTAAAAAGCAGAAGCAGGTAGAGGAAGCAGAAGAGAATGCTTTATTTCTTATAACAGGAAGTGTATAAGTAAGTCTGGAAAATGCAGTCACAGCTCTCTTAAGCATGGATTCAGAGCAGTGAACATAATGTCAAAGGGAGTAGCTAGAAGGTCTTGCTCCTATATAGTGGGGAACAGTGGTCTCAAGGTGACATGAGCCGTTAGCTCCTTTGGGTTTTAAACCGTAAACATAGGGATACCCGACACTGAACTTTGGTAACAAATATAAAGTTACAAACTTCCTTTATGGAGAAACAAACTCTGAAGCATCACCATGGGATCTTTTCTGTTATTCTTGTTAACTTGACAAAACCAACTGAATGAGGAGTGGGCAGTAGAGAGGAGAGAGGAAGGCAGCTGGTACATGAGACCAGTAACCAGTTATCCATGAGACCAGGGGAAAGAGATAGGGAACAAGACAGCCTCCCAAGGCATAAGAATGTATTTGATAGAGATAGTCAGGAGAGGAACCCCCAGTGGAAAGGCGTGCTTGTCCCGGCCCCTCTCAACACTCCCTGCTCCTTGTACTCTGTACAGTGGTAAGCACTACTCACCACTGTAGACAACTGTTCATTTGATTTCCTCTGGATACATTTGATTGTTAAGAGCAGGGGGCAGGTTGCTTACAGAGCATTTCCTTCTGTGGACCTTCACAAATGAAAGGATAAATAGAAGTCAGCAGAGAAATGAAGCATGTCCACGACTGGAGAGGACTCCTAGTACCTTCTCTCTGTCCCAACAGGGCAAATAAAAGGCAAACTATTGTTGAGTACATGTTTAGCATGTGTGGGGTCCTCTGTTCCATCTCTAGTACCACCTTACATAAAAATTAATTAATTAAGAATAAAGTTAGCTCAAGTTTTATAACTTGTCTTTTCAGATTATAATTAGATGCCTTCAGGGAGAAGTGTCTGCATCGTCTTTATGCATGTGTTCTCAGCTGAAGGAGAATGCCTGTCAGATGCTAATACGTGCCTTGTAAACCCAAGTCAAGCTCACTGGGAAAGGGGGGCTTCTTCCTAGGAGGGGCTGTGATAGCTAAATGGTCACCATACATAACAGACCCCAAGAGTCTTAATTACACTGATGGTGACAAGGTTTATGCTGCAGGCTAGGAGCAGTCCCCTCCATCCCTGTCCCTCCCCCAATCCTCCACACCTTACCCCCCCAGACCCCCCACCCCTGACCCAGTCTCCTGCTCCCCAAATTGCTCCATATAAACAGGGAATTGCAAAGAGAAACCAAACAAAAAGAGTACAGACCCTACGTGTCCAGTCTCAAGAAGCAGAGGCTTAGAACCAAAAATGAAACCCCATGTCACTCAACAAATACCTTCATCTTTCTTTAAAACATCAGCAGCACCTCTGTTCTGCTGTCTCATCCCTGACTCAATCACCAAGATTGCAGTTCAAAGTTAAGTGAGCCACACATTGCCCTGACTAGGTGACAAACTCTGTCCCTGCTTTGTGCTGGAAGGTAAAAAAATTAGTTATGGGTGATTCTAGCCTTGACATTTTTGACACCCCTCCTCCATGCCTGGGCCCAACACATGAGCCAGCTTTCTGCCCCATACTCTTCCTTTGGACAGAGCAGGTTGGTAGTAGGCCAGGAAGGCTCAGCCATTCTTCTGTTAGAGTAGGACACAGGTGCAGCTGCACAGTAGTTGCTGGGCTCACTAACCTTTAATCCACAGTAGTTGCTGGGCTCACTAACCTTTAATCCACAGTAGTTGCTGGGCTCACTAACCTTTAATCCACAGTAGTTGCTGGGCTCGCTAACCTTTAATCCACAGTAGTTGCTGGGCTCACTAACCTTTAATCACACATCCATCACAGCCTTCTCTAGACACAACCTGTGTGTGCAGCAGTGTGCTAGAGTCCAGGAGCACCAGAGCAGATGCTCATACAAGTTGTCTATCAAGAGAAGTTTAAGCGAGAAGTGGCTGAAGTCACACTGGTCTTGAGGAGGAGACAAGAGGGGAAGAGGAGATATGGAGGAATGCAGGTCTCACTGCCTTCTGTGTTCCTGACTCCCAGGCCATAACCGGCATGGCCATTGACAACCATCTTCTGGCACTGAGGGAGCTGGCCCGAGACCTGTGTAAAGAGCCACCTGAGATGTTCACGGATGAGACGTACCTGATGAGCAACCGGTTTGTTCTCTCCACCAGCCAGGTACAGCCTCTGCATGTGTGCCCAGGGCCCAGGAAGCCCTATAGTAAAGACATTAGTGACTTGGAACCAGGCTCTGTCTCTGCTTTTTTAACACACACACACACGCACACACACATGCACACACATGTATGCATATATTTGCATGTATTTAATATGTATTATTTATGGAAAATAATTATACATACTTACAGGATACAGTATATGCATGTAATGGGTAACAGTCACATCAACCTAATCGGCATATCTATCAACTCAGTCATTTAGAGAACATTCCAAATCTTTGTACTAGCTACTCTGAAATATTTAAGTTATTATTGCCAACCACTCTGTGCCATAAAACAGTGAAGTCAACTATACCCTCTCCGCTCTCAACCCCACCAGCTGGCTCTTTTTTCTTTTTAATTTATTTATTTTTATTTCATGTGCATTGGTGTTTTGCCTGCATCTGTGTGAGAGTATCAGCTCCCTTGAAATTGAAGTTGCATGCAATTGTGAACTGCCAAGTAGGTGCTGGTATTTGAACTCAGGACCTTTGGAAGAGCAGCCAGTGCTCTTAACCACTGAGCCATCTCTCCAGCCCTTCGTTTTTTTTTTCTCCTAACAAGTTTCATCTTTATTTATTTGTGTGTGTGTGTGTGTGTGTGTGTGTATTTGTCAATATGCCTATGTGAGTCTGTGCCATGTGTCTGTGGGCACCCTCAGAGGCCATAAGAGAGTGTTGGATCCTCTGAAGCTAGAGTTTCAGGCAGTTAACGCTAGCTACCTTCCTAATCTAGGTGCTGGGAACTGAACTTGCTCTAGAAGAACAGCAAAGCTCTTTCAATCACTGAGCCATTTCTCCAGCCCTAGGCTCTGCCTCTTAAGAGTTTGTCACCTTTCAGTAGAGTGACCTAAATGTTCAAGACATTAATAGTCTCCCATCTTCTAAGTAGGAATGACCCCAGGATCCCTTAGCCAAGGTAGACGGGCTGGGAACATATCCGTCTGGGGGTTCTAACTACCATGCAGTACTGCCTTGCCATCCACTGCATGTGAGGGGGTATCCCACTGTAGAGGACCCTGGGATCTGAAGCCTAACAGGCCTGGTTAGGGGTCCCTTAATTAGGTTATGGGTATTATGGTAATAAATGGCCAAGGCACCAATGGCAGAAAATCAGTTATCAGCCCGACATTTCCTACCTGTGCTGTACACATACCATTGTATTAAAGGACCACAGCCACAGACAGAACGATGTTCATTCTCGGAAAGCTGCGGGGGAGGGGAGGAGACATGTAACCACACCAGCCTCCTGGAAGTTACCACACCCGCAAACCGCTGGACAGAGGAGGGGAAGGGGGCTGACAAAGCTGTGTGTGAGGATAAAAGCCCACTCAGTAATTTAATTTTGTCATTACAGCAGTGGGCTTGCAGACATGAATAAAGAGACCAGAATACTACAACATAAATTCTTCAGGAAACCATCCATGGGCATAGAGTGCTCTGGAACGACTTCATGGCCTCCAGCCATTGCACGGCAAATTTATCTGACAATGCAGTGACTCTATTAGCAAGACTAATGGCTTGTTCTGCCCCATTAAAACGGCCAGTGCCATTTCAGAAGGCCTAAGAGCACAGCACCAGAAACCTGTGGATTTAAAACAGACCCTGACCAACACTACACTGGCTCAGCAATCCTCCCTACTTATCCCTACAGTCATCTAATAAAATGAATTTGGGGTCTGAGTTGTTTAGTGGTATCTTTCCCACTGAATAGTAACATTCATGGCTTGGATGCTTTCAGAGACACACGTTCTTGGTTTGTGATCCGTGTCGCAAAGCCTTAGCCCTCTAAATTCAAAACATCTTAGGCGATTAAATAAAATTCCAGGTGACAGCAGGATTGGAAATGCCGGGTGCTGAGTAATTGTGCATGGGTGGGCGGGCCTTGGGGAGGAAATCAGACCAGCCAGGCGATACTGACAGTAATTAAGGATCTGGGGGAAGTCAACAGAGAAGACGGCCAGATTTCCTCCAGTTCATAAATTACTCCCTGTGGGAAGCCATCTAATGGTTGGGTGCCACCAGGGTGCCATTTAGTAAATTAGCCTGATTGCCACAGTGCCTCAAATGGCCCCTAGATGAAGGAAAGCCTTGACTCAGGCTGGGCAGCAAGTCACCTTGGGAGCTTTCAGCTCCGCAAACAGGCCCAAGTACACTCTGGGGAGTGGGTTGGGGGTCTCACCTTGATGTGTGCATCTTTATGATCTTTAAGCACCACATCCAATCAATCATGCCAGCTCAAATCAATCTGGTCAAATCCATGATGAGGGGATCTGGACAGGAAGCAAATATGATGGCGGTCTTAAGATACAGGAACTCACCCACCATGTTCTAGCAGGTTTCCAGGTCGGATGCCACAGATTAGGCTATTTCTGACCTATGCTCTTCTCCAGGTACCCACAACCATGGAGATGTTCTGCTGTTATGGCCCCGTGGTCCCTAATGGGTATGGAGCCTGCTACAACCCCCAGCCTGAGGCCATCACCTTCTGCATATCCAGCTTTCACGGCTGCAAAGAGACCTCGTCTGTGAAGTTTGCAGAAGCGGTGCGAGCGAGCCTTGTTGACATGAGAGACCTCTGCAGCACACAGCAATCTGCTGACAGCAAGCCACCAGCAGCAAAGGAAAAAGCTAGAGGCCCAACCAAGCCAAGCAACCTTGACTCCTGCCACTAGCCCAACCTCCTACAGGAGTCAGACCCTAGTAAGCGCTGCTCCCATCCCCCACCCCAGCTTGTTGTTGCTCCTCTATCCTTGGGGGCTCATCTGAAGCTGGCATGTTAAGAGAGAGAGAGAGAGAGAGAGAGAGAGAGAGAGAGAGAGAGAGAGA